CATGCTTCCACATGCTGAAGGGCGGATTGCACAGAAGTCGAGCAGTTCTTGCACTACCATCCAATCCCCGTGGCGACGGCTGCCCAGGCCTAACATCCCCTAGCGGATACTATGGGAAACACACCAATGTATATTGACTATCTGTCGGCGACAGTGTGACGAATCGGTCCGGCACAACCGGACAAAAGTCCATAGCCTTGGAAAAATCAAGGCGGTCGGTGAAGCAGGTCGTATAAATTCCTAGACGATTACTCACGACAGAGTTTTCAGAACCCCTATGTATTCATGGATATTCAACACTTCCCCGTTCTGGCACTCCGAATTTTCACAAGTACAATAAGGTCACGCATACACACGGGACATTCCTGAAGACGGCTTGGAGTTCTCCATTAAAAGCCGATTTCTGAGAAGCACCAGCATCCGGCATCAGAGTGAAGACTGCCACGATTGAGTCGCTGACAATGGTGGCATGAACACTCACAAATACATTCCTTGGCGGCACAAGTTCCCTGTGTAAAAATGAGGCCAAAATGCTGCCAGTGATACGACTGTGTTCGACCGTCTTGGAAACTAGAATCTTGACGGTAGGTGGGATATGACCCGGCAAGTACATTTCGTAAAGGCAGGAAACATTCAAAGTGAAGTGCGCCGACGCACACTTAGCGGGACTTTAGGGTAACAGCACAAGAAATTTCGCGTTTCAATATGCGTTGCGCAGTTCTTAATCTACCAGGCTGACTAGCAGAGATTTTGACATGCGAATTTTCATGAAGACCGTCTCAAATAATACGGGCACGAGACGGGAACAAGGACTCTCCCTCCCTCCCTTGCGCAAAATGTCAGGAAGGTCAACGAACCTCGGGTTTTAGCTTAACCCCCAAACCTACGTTTCAACTTAATCCGAACAAAACACTAACATGAACTTTAACATTACTTTTCCTGGAAATCAGCCCCAGGCCCCTCCATAGCACTGGCACTTTCACAATGGCATTTAAAAAACACATCATAGTACCGGCAACATAGGTCTTATTTGACCCACTTATGAAAAATTCAATGGCCTCGGCAATTTCAACATATTTCTTTGCTTTCTGTTTACAGTTTACAAACTCCAAATAAAGACAAATGTTGGACAGATACATGTTCTTCAACGGTGAATAAACTCTTTAAATAGGCTACCCGAGGAGATAGCTGCAGCTTCCATAAAAACACACCCCGAGAAACCACCTAACACACCAGGCACATCAGCGTTTACCTCAGTTCAGTGTGATACGAAAACGAAAAATCGACTAATTTTTTTCCACTTCTACTTTTTCCGCGTATGATTAATCCAGGCAAATTGTTACTTTAGTTACAATCGTTTCGTTGGACACTATTTGGGTTATTTATTGCTACGGAACAGAAATTTTGAAATGGGTTTGCGCCTCAATTTGCGTGCAGCATAGTCCTAAGATAGTTCGGTCACCTCGGGATGCCTGCTCGAAAACGAGCCTCTTCACAGCCACCTGCAAAAAATACGCAGCAAAATGGCTGAGTGTTCCTAATCGATTGTCAGTTTCGCTATAGATTCTAACACATTTTACAGGAAGCAAACGAAATTTTGTAAATTTTTTTAATCATTTATTAGCAGATTCGGTCTTCAAATGATATGTTCGAGGAAAATGGATCTTTATATTTTGCTGGTTCCTAATTTCAAGAATTTTAAATACTGTTAAATTTCTATACGCAATGCATTGCATCTGAGCATTTACTAATGCTCTTTACCAATTAAACAACACAGACCGCATTCACTGCAAAATTTCATGACCACAATATGATAAGTTCCTAGTAAGGCAAATAAATGTGTGATTTTCCCTAGACAGAATGTATGCAGCATGCGGTTTTGAAACCCTCAGATAAAATGCAACTGTACGTCACGTTTAAAATAATTTGGGAATGGGATTGTTTAAAAAAACGTAGGAAAACGTTCTTCATACATTAGATTTGAAGCGGACTAATATGCTATCAAATGACAGCAAGAAACATTATTGTTGAATCCATAAAAACATGGAAGATGAATAAGAAAATAATACTACCTAAACAATCATCTTCCACATGATCGTTTTTGCAAGGGGCCGTATAGGAGCCCGTCTAAAGGCGGACACGTTGAGGTAACTGATTTATCTTAGTAGAAAGCTGAAACACAATTAATAGCACTACACTACTTACGTAATTTTTGAAGCTAAAACACATTCCAGAATTTTCGCCAAAATTAAATTAATTCGCACACCTACTGTACACATGCCTCAACTGTCCGCACTGTCCACGCACGGCTAGATTAGTCGCAACAAATGCACATCAAGCATCGGTCTGGTTTGTCACTTGCGACTCAATCACACAGAGACTGCCGTACAAATGGCAGAAACGCCATTCCGTCGAATTGCTCACAAATACCCGCACTGCCTAGGCAAATCCAGTCACCACAGGAGCCTACTCAGATACAGGTATTTGCACCAAAATCTGCAGAAAAATACCGCAGACTAAAAGCCAACACAGCATACGC